CGAAATCGCGATGCAACTTCACGGAATACTTCCGCTTCTGTTAAATGCTGTTCTTTTTTTCTATAGATATCGTTCGGCTTTTACGAGCGTTTGCCGTTTCGAGAGTCTAGACATCGGTTTTACGATGTCGAAATAATGCAACGTGCGCGCCGCTTCATCCGATCTACGTACCCGCGTGCTTGTGAACGTTGCATCTCAAGAGTGCATGTAAAAGTCGGTGAAATCGCGAGCGCGCGAGCTCTTTTCTTCCTCCTTGCATTCGCTTTTCCGCTGCCATAGCATGCACCGCAGAGAGACCGTGTATTCATGGAGACATTAAATGGAAATCATGGTTTTACGCGCAAGTCGGCTATGAAGTACACGAGGAGAGACGAGTCACCCGATATACGTTCATTTTGTGCTTATAAAACCGCAATCGTTTTATAAATATTTAATGACGGCCATGCTTCACCGGTATTCTTTACCGCGGCGTACACTCTGTCTCCCTTCAACTGCCTTTGTAAATTTGAAGTCTATTTTCTCATTCTGTTGTTACTTTTTTTTTATTTTTACTTGCTGCATCCCCGGAAGTAATTTTTCCCTTTTACCGACACTGCACCCGATACTTCATCATAATACATTTTATAGATACCATGATATTGGAAAATTGCCTTTAGAGCATTTAACATAGTATATACTCTATAGATTTTTTATGTTTCGTACAGGAAACACATGACGTGATACAGATATTAATCACAGAAAGAAAACGATTCTTTTTAATTATTTTTTTATATTAAAATTTAAAAAAACTGTTTTAATAAATTAAATTTTCTGAGATACATTTGGCTTGATAATATATTTGTACTCATTTATGACGTGCGTATTTAATTTTTATTACGGCATAAAATGATTTTGTTTAAATATCGATCGATGTTATTAATTAATTTAGATTTCCCGATATACTACCGCTAACGTGTAATTTAATTGGTGCGGGTTAACGGTATCGCTCGGCACTTTGATGTTTTTTTTTTTTTTGCATGCGCTTGTATCTTTTTTTTTTTTTTGTATCCGCTCGGACGAGATCGGGATACGCCGATCGCGAACGTAACAGAATTTCCACGAACGTGGCTATTTGCATACGGGTGCGGGCGCGCGGAAATTCCGCGATGCTGCGCGGATATTTTCATATCGGTAATGTTGCATGCGCGCATCGCGGTTCTGCAATATTAAATTCCGTGTTTACTCTGTCGACGTGCGCCCGCTCCTCGCGTTATTCCACATCGTAATGACGGATTATGCTCGTTTCGCGACCATTCGAAGGAAGGAAAATGTTTTCTCTTGCCCTTTTCGACCCATCCGCATATTCGTTCGCGCTTCGTCGGGCATTTCATTCGACTTCTTAGACGTTCGTTTATTTATGCATCCGCCTTTTTGCAAGCATGTTGCGTATCGCACATCGAATCGTCCTACGCTGGAATATTCTATAAATATTTAAGCTCTTATTTTCTTGTTCTTCTCTCGCCTACGTCGTACTTAATTTTCTTTTCTTTGCTATTTTTTTACTGATTCACGAAATCGCAATCGCGCAAAAGGAATTTAAAAGTATTTTTATGAAAATGTAAAACAATCTACTCCCCTTGCAATTTCCTCAAATTTCAAATAGTTCTCTCAATAGAGGAAAATAAAGATATATATTTATTTGTATATTTAGTTATCTGCCAGTTATATTAAATATTAAGAAAAGAGCTATTTTTTATTAATATTAGAATATTCGTGTATAATTTTTTGTATGTTACTTGCATCAAATATATATTGCTTTAAAATATTCTGAATATTTGATTTTCTACTTATTATTCGGTTTACATAAATATACTATAGAATCTTGTAGATCAGAATTTTTCACATTTTGATAGATTCGATAATCGAAGTCTCCCTGTTGTGACTGAGATTGGTTCGAGAAAAATTCTGATCTACAAGATTCTATAGTATATTTATGTAAATCGAATAATAAGTAGAGAATCAAATATCTAGAATATTTTAAAGCAATATATATTTGATGCAAGTAATATACAAAAATAAATAATAGTAATATACAAATATATATATATCCGAATAATCCGTTGAGATATTAAAACTTTAGGAGAGTGTACTTTACATGAATGAACTTAAAATAAATTCCTCTACGTTTAATTTGATTAATTTTATAATCAATTAAGTAGCGCTGTGTTAAATTGAGAAATACTGTCGCGAAACTTTATTTATCGCAATCTCAAGAGAAATTCTCGTTTCTCGTTACATTTTCAAATATCAAAATCGCGAACCGGGAAACAGACTCTTAACGAAGACGTGAAGGAAAATTCGTTGGAAGACTCCCATCAAAGCTACGGCTGCTCCGCATTCGTCGAGAATTTTCGCGAGTAAATCCGTTAAAGAGCGCCTTGCAAAGAGTTATATCGCGAATGATCTTTGCACACATTCGACACGCTACGTGAATGGAAAGATTAAATAAAATAGATCGCCCTCGCTTCGAAGCTGCGACAAATTTTATCGCGAATTTGTATCAGAAATTTCATTATTTCAAAATATCACGAATATTTCATCGTACATTTTATTATATTTTTATCACAAATTTTATTATCTCTCGGCGAACTGAAAATGTGGCTTTGCAATGAAGCATTTTTAAGAAGGCAGTAAGTTAATCGTAAAAGAGAAAGAGATTTTTTTAAATATAACTTTTTGTTGTATTTCCGTGTTTGTTCGGGAAATTAATATGTGTTTTATACAATCAACATGCATGATCTGCAACTCTGTAATTTGCTAATTATTATTTCCGCATTTGGTGTATACTGGGAATTCTGGGAAAACATACCAAGTTTAATTCACAGAGTTAGATCAGCATGTTGAAAGGGTAAACAAGGTACTAATTTGATCGCGCAAATATTACGCTGCCGCTGCAATATCCTTGAGGTAGAATCAGAACATGATTTGCTTATCATTAATTGGCAATATTATATTAGAGAAGAGAAAAAAACAATTAATAATTTTTGAATTCTGAGATTGAAGTGCACAACATATCACTCAAAAACGTCGTATTTGCTGTGTTTCATCCCAAATTTAAAAAAAAAATAACACTCGAATGTGCGTGAATTCATGAATTTAATTTCGTGTTCTAAACTGTTTTGATAATTACATAAAAATATTCGCGACCAGACAGACCGAACTCTCGTTAGACGCGGGGATGCACCGTCCAGGGTCGCTACCACCATATGTTTTTGCCGACGTTTCGACAGCATATCGCTCGTAAATCTCCGTCGGAGACAGCCGACACGAACAGGACAGATAGGACCTAGTGAAAAGGGTCTCGACGATTGTGATAAATCATCTGGTTTGCCATGCCTCGGTCAATTACAAAGCCGCGTCGGTAAATAACGAATTACGCGGCTTTCAATTTGTCTGTATTTACGGTATAATGGCCAAATCCATCTCGAATCTCCGTCGGCATCGGAAGCTTTGTACGGATGTTCTCGGAATCGATTCGCATGTGTAGATAGTCGCGCCCGGATCGATCGAACTTTATTCCGACTTTCGCATTAGTCTTCATTAATGTCGAGCCGTGCACAGGACATGTCCTGACGAATAAACCAAAAAAATGAGTACGGAAGCTATGATTGACAGAATGGACGCGGTATTAAATTTCGACTCCGCTACGTTGCGATGCGTTCGCATTCTTGATAACCTGCCACGCTGCAAATAGCCTGCTATCTGAATAATTTACTGTGTGAAACTATGATAAAGAGAGAGAGAGAGAGAGATTAATAAAACAAAAATTTTAATGCCAGGATTTTATTTTTCATCAATGCATTTATTTATATAATGTATGTTACATTGACGTTGCACAAAACACAAATTTTATGCACGTATATGTACATATAGATATATATGTTCGGCTTATAGCGCCGTGAAGTAATTTTGCTATCATATAGCAGAATTACTGCACCACCTGCTAATGACAGATTCTTGAGATCATTTGGAGACGATTTTTCCTCAGCGAAAATATCGAGAGAGGTCATTATTTTTTGCAAGTTTCCCATTTTTTCCATCATATATCTTTGTAACTAAGTCTTAAATTAAAATTCTCTCTCTCTATTAAAGTAAACTATATCTGAAATTAACTAAAGAATGTAGTTTTAACTCTTTATAAAGTTTAGTTTGCAAAAAACCCTTCTTTTTGAATCGCTTATAACACGGAAATTATTGATGCCTCGATATTTTCGCTGAGGAAAAATCGTCTCCAAACGATGTCAAGAATCTGTCAATAGTAGATGGTGCGATAATTCTGGGATAGCTTGTATAAAATTAATTAAAAATATAATGAATTGTTATATTTGTAAATCAGATTTAATAGGAATCAATTTTTTATAAATATATCATTAAAATCAAAGCTGCAATATGTGAGATACATATAAACTGCGTATTTGTAAGCAAAATTTTGTAATTATAATTATTGAATATGCAATTTCAAATTATTATAATTTTGAATAAATATTTCATACTACATTGAATAGGCTGATTGTGTTAGGTATTTGACTAGAAATGTTTATGAATATCCTAAATTAAATGTTTAAATTTTAGCATAATATTATGAATATTAGAATAAATGGTTACATTTGCGTAGCACGTAGTGAGTCAAATGAAATATGGTTGTAATTGGTGCGCCAGATGCAGTTACGGGAAATTGGTGATGAGTTTGCACGTTTCGCAAACTGAGTCCAGTAATGTTAGAAGGGAAATACCGGCATTGTATCATATGTTTGTACAAAATTTTCTATTATCGAAATTCAGATATAATTTCTCTCTTCGCCTAATATCTCTTCGTATAAATATCTCATAACATAGTTAGTTTCAACTCATTCTTTTCCTGTGATTTTCCCGCTTTCCTTTACGAATCATCCTGCAAAAGGTCTGCAACGACATGAAATTATTCTGTCTGTGCGTTACAATGGAGCGAAATCAATTTTCAGTGTCTCGAATCTCCTCGACAAATTATTATTCGCCTCCAATTCGAAGAAGACACACACTGGAGCATCGTATCGACCGTTACCGCTCGTCTACCATTAATTCCAGCGATTAGCAACCAAAGAAACACTTGCAAACGCACAAAAACAGCGGGAGGGATGAAGGGTCGGCCTTGAAGAGTACGTCGGGCCTGCCAGGGCCTGCCGGAAGAGGCGAACAAGAGGAACCGACTGCCGGGAGGGTCGTCACCCCCTCTTAAAAAAAGGGGTCGAGGCCTGGCACCAGATCAAAAGCTCGGTCACAATAGGTTGCCTGCAAAGTTCTGGTTCCAGGGGGTCGGAGGCGGAGGAGGAGGGTGGTGGCGTCGAGGGCAGCGACGGGGGAGGCGGCACGAGTATGTGCTGCGTCCTTCAGGGTGCCGAGAGAGTGTTTCCCTCCGCCGGCAACGGGGGGAAACACGGGACGGGAACGGGGAGCGGTAAGGGCGCCGGTGGCACCCCCGTAGGCACCCAGGATCTACCCCTCGAATCGCTCTGGGCGGCCGGCCTGGACGAGGGGATGGGGTTTCCGCAGAGGTGCTCCTACGCGAATCAGCACACTACCCTCGTCGCGACCTCTGCTACGAACCACACGTCTCCCGCGAACCCCGATGATCTCTGGAGAGAGAGAAACCTCCCTCATAGGTATATACAGTTATGCACGTAATTGATCGATGTTTTTAATTTTGTGAGATTCTTTAATGAAAAGAGGAGAAAAAAGATAGCATATAGAAATAAATTTATATATATATATATTTCTGAATAATTGATAATTGATATTAATAATTTTTGAAACTCTCGATCAATTTTGTGAGTCACTGTACCTGTCAAAAGTCCCTTGTTTCTGTATCACATACGCTATTAATTCTTCATTACCGTTTAGATGTTCAATCTCTCGAGTGTTGCTGACAGAGAATTTTAAAAAATTTTTCGTTTCGAAGAAACTTCGTGAAAGTTTGCACAGTTTAAAAGTTATACATAAGTTTAGAACCAATATTCGGGATATAGAAATTTATTTTATTTCTTTTTTCTTATCGACCTCACAAGTCGTAACAAATATCTAAGGAAGAAAATTGCCCTGCAATTTATTTTTCTGAATCTTCTGAAATTAGTCTAGGTTAATATGAAATTCTTAGTTTGCCTTTTTATACCTATTAATTTGTATTTACTTTTTCTTTGCATTTTTCTTTTAACAAAAACTTAATTTCCGATTCAACTACAAATTCGAATTAAACTCATCAAAAAGATATTTAATTACTAGAAATTTCTCTCGTTATCAGTCTTTCATTTCTTTTTAAAAGCATAGTTATAAACAGCGAGCATATTTTTGTAACCGATCTTGAAGATACAAACATTTTCCCTCTCTCTCACTACCCGCCGTATCAACATACGGCGATTATAAAAAGACTCGCTCGCACAGAACGCCCACGACCTCCACGGGGATCGGTTCCTCGATCACGGATGAGATATGGACGTCGGCAAACGAGCGGCGCTTCTGCCGCACGTCGACCACTTCGACCGGCATCGGCTCGTCCTTGAATCTACACGAGAACAATCGTTCGCTGGAGTCGCGCGACGGCGACTTTTACTCCACGGATATCGAGGATTCCAAGGACACGTCCTATCGAAGATATTATCCGACCACACCGACCACCTCCGGTCTGGGTTCGTCCTCGGACCGGCAATCCGTAGAGACGCAGTGCGGTTCCCGGGATCTGCCGGATCATCTCTGGGCGGCCGCGATGGAGGACGGTTTTTCGCGCTTCAACGCCATGAAGTCCCTGCAGACGATCACGCGTCAACCCCGTCCGAATCACGATTGGGTAAAGACCGAACGGATCTCCAGATTCACCAAGCATCGCACGATCAGCCAGTCGCCGCAGCGCGAACAAGAGATCTGGACGTCTAAGCTGAATGAGAGCGCCGTGGTCTCCGGTTACGCCACGCAAAGAAATCCGCACAAGTGTCACCATCAGGCACGCAGAAGCTTCTCCACATCGATCGTCGCAGACCTCGCCATCACGCCGGACGGGTCTCAGCAGAGCCTCGGCAGCGGCGAGTTTCTGGTGAGTCTTGGTGTCTTTTCGGTGTCGTGTCCTGTGGTAGTCTCTTAACGTGTAGTTTCTTACAATTAATATTTAATATACATTTAAAGGGTGGAGTTCCGAATAGGTGAACCCTCCGATTTTTTTGAAACTACGCCGTTTTTAGTCTTTAATATCGATTTTCTCGAAAACTTTCAGTTTCACGCAAAAAATTTATAGAACATAAATAATGTATTTTTTTAAGAACTGCAACCTTTATTTGAAACATTTTTTTGTTACATCAATATTTATTAAAATAATGTCTAAAAAGTTATATTTTTTCAGTTTTTTTGTTTTGACCTTGAAAATGACCTTGTCGCAAATTTTCATTATCACATTTGTAATCAGCGTTAAAAAATACAAAAAATAGTGTAGTTTCAAAAAAATCGGAGGGTTCACCTATTCGGAACTTTATCCCATTTAAATTTAAAAAAATTAAAATGCGCGAGTACGTTAAAATTATGATGTACGTTATTTTTAACAATTAAATAACACGTGTTGTTATAAACAGAGCGAAAAATACACTTTTTTATACAGAATTGAAAATATATAACGCTCGTAAAGCATAGCTGCGAGTTACGGTTTTTTTTTGAAAGAACGGTAAACATTCTTTTAGATTCCAGAAATAGCTCGGTTATTAAATTCGCGTTACCATTATTATTACTACAATTGTGTTACGAAATACTTACGCCAACCGCGAACTTAATATTGCCCAGCGTTTACGCGTAGAGTATTTTTTTTTTCGCGAGAATGATTTTGCGCTTTATTCTGTCGCATGGACAATCTTTTTGCAATCGATTGTAAAAATACGTCATTAATAGAGGAGGTAAAATTACAATCTGTTATCCTCTCGGTATGCGTTCTTTAACCTCGATTATTATAATCAATCCGGGCATTCGAACAAATATTTTCGATCGAAGAAGCGGGCGATCGACACACAATAACTCAACCCTTTCTTCTTGTTTGTATTATATAAAGGAATTTAACCTATTGACTTATCGCCGAGTTTTGGATTATCTCGCGGCGAAGTCGCGGGGACTCGTCGCGAAGTTTATTCGTCGTTTTCTTTTTATCACGATGATGTCTTTGAGAAGAGGCTTTGACGCGAACTCACGGGACTGTAAACTAAATTTATCGCCGCGTTGTGGTTTGTGTACACTTTAAGGCGGGTTACCGACTTTCTCCTCTCTTGACCTATCCTCCCGGAAATTCTCCGCGATAATTGAATTGAATATACATCACGGCGCGAGTCACACACAGAGTGAGAGACTGTTCCTTGAAATAGGAGCGGGACAATGCAATATTGACAATGATATCGCATCTTCTAAACAAAATCTTCTAAATAAGATAAGAAGTTATGGTATATTTATTAATTTTTACAATTATTATAAAATTAAACAATTTCACAAATTGTATTTTTATCGAAAAATTTTAGGATTGAATTGAGATAAATTATTATTTTGCATCAAAATATTTGACTACTAATTATTATTTTTTAATAATCTTTTTTTTAATGTTACAATAAGATTTTGCCAAGAATGTTCAACCTAAAATATAGTAATCGAAGGCTGAGGATTGATAAACATTTTTTATGCAACTTAACTATTAATTAGTTTGGAATATAATATAAAAATAATATTTTATCATAACGTTAGATTTATCAATTTTATTAATACCGTTTGTACGCGTTTGTTGGCATCTTTCCAGTTTGTATAAATAAAATCCACGTTCGCCAAATATAAACAAAACACGAAAGCGCGGCGTCCGCTCGTGCGACAACAAAGTTGACAGAAATTATTAAAACAGCACAAGCATTGCTTGTGCAGAAAGTTGAAGCATGCTGAATCTCGGGAGATCGCCAGAGGATAGATGATAAAAATTTTAAGTCCCACTTTTCACGGGTATTCATATATGTCAAAAGATTTACGGACAATAGCTTTTATATAAATATATATATATATATATTTGATTTATTGAATTGGGCATTTTTAATCTTTTCCCTTTTAACCTAAAAAAGACCGACAAATACGCATGCATCCAATACTTTCCACGAGAGGATCATCATATCGTCGGTCGCAGGTGTCGTTGCGACCGAATCGATTGGACGCGACCCATGTCGTAAAAAGGCCGGCTCGTAAAACTGCGACAGAGGGAGGATGCCATGCTGGGATACATCCAGCTGGTCACATTGACGTGTCCTCCGGACTTGGCCGCGCGAGAAGCACAAGCGAACCTTGACATTTCTCGCGCGGAGATCACGAAGAAGAAGAAGACCGGCCACGAGAGTTCGTCGAGAGCGCGAGAGCATCCGAGGAAGATCCGTGCGGTTCCGGTTACCATGAGAACCTTATAATCGCCTACTCACGGCGAAAGCCGAAGAGAGGAGTGCCGAAGAGGGACAGGAGGAGAGGGAGGAGGAGGTGGAAGACGGCCGAAGGCAGAAGCGAAATGCCTACTTACGACACAACCGCGATCCCCCTCGTAAACATCGGACGGCTCCTGGGAATCCGCGAGCGGCGAGAACAAGGATACCAGGTGCAGCGGTACCGATAACGACCGCCAATCGACCGCGGGAGGCGACGCGTGACGCCGCTACATTGTGACGGGAGAGGAGGAGGAGAGGGGGAGATGGGGAGGAGAGGATCTCAAGCATTCTCGTCAATTTTTGCCGCCGCCGCGGATCGCGGATCCGGCATAATTGCCTCAAACTTTACGGATAATTGAACGTACGGACGCGCGTCGAGACACGCGTTATTAATTACGGACGCGCGATCGCGGCGTTGTGCCCGTGCGCTCGCGCTGCTAATGATGCCGACGACTGCGGATGAAATTAAACCCTCGAGAGCTGATAGCGGACATTGATTGGTGAGCTACGATGATCTGCAGATTGTATGGCAGCCTTCAAAAAGCCAACTTTTGTCGCGTTTGCCTTGTCCATGGGAGAATCGAGAATCGTTGATAGAAATAGAATAATTAAAGCAAAATTATATTCGAATTTTTTGGAATTATATAGAGAATAATATAATAACATTATTTTTACATTATAATTGCATTATAAATAAATTATTATTTTTTGCTATTGATTCTTCATTATTACATTTCTATGATGTTTACGGACAATAGCTTTTATATAAATATATATATATATATATATTTGATTTATTGAATTGGGACTTATATGATTTTATTTAAAGAGGATAATTTCTCAATGATTAATTAATGCTCTTTTATAGAGTTTAATTTAAATTTCTATTAAATTTCTGTTAAATTTGTTATAGCGACGTAAGTATTACAAATAGAAAATAATATAATGATATCTCTTAGCTATAAAATTACATCGTATAATCTTCTTTACTACTGATAATATCACACATAAAATATCTTTTATCCGAAAATGGAGAAGTTAAATTCTCGGAGTCTCTTGGAAAAAGTGCTCCATCGCGCGAATTTCCCCTCACAGCACATCGCTAATACTTTAACTGCTACGTTATGGGCTACTTATATTAATCAAACATTTTATAGCAATATTTTAACAGTTTTGTGAATGCGCATTTTCTATGCCTACAATTGTGGTTGGATAATTATGAATTTATTATATATACATACATGTATGGGGGGTATTTCATTTCGACGCGCGAAAATAATTATTGTCTCATCACGCGGTACGTCACGTGCGACAAAGTGACAAGTCGGATGTTCATCGCGCGTGATGAACAAAAGAACGACTCTCGTCAAGCTAGCTAGATGTTTACTGTATCGCGTATGTACATATAACATCAAAAACGTAACAAAACGACTTGTCCTGAAATCTGTCCGGGAAACGATGTACGACGAGATGCGGGACATAAAAGTGCCATTCCACTTCGGGATATTAGAGTCGGATATTGCGGTATATCTTTTTTTCATCGTGGTCCACGATCTCTTTTAAAAATGAAGGAGTTTTATCATCCTCGTGTCACGTGACTTGCGGCTGTTTCCCTTCCTACCGGATAATTCTTACTGTCAGGGGATGCATCATTAATTTCCTCGCTCCAGAAAGTAGCGCTGCTAAGTTGGAGTACGGTAATTGATTCGGATAACGAAATTTGTTATAGCCGCTAACTCTTAGTTTTGAAAATTGAAAATTTTATTTCTTAAAGAATAATATTACATACACAAAAGGAGAGAGAGAGAGGGAAATGAAAAGAAAATGAGAGAACTTTCTTTATAAAAAATATTATTTTGATTTCTCATAAAAATACATATAAAACCAAACATCGTATTATAAGTATTGTAATATAAATATCGTTGTATAAGAGATAATCATAAGTTTAATTAAATACAATTTACATGCTATTAGCTATAAAATAAATTAAACTATAAACATTGAATAAGCAAACATATATTGTATAAGAAACAATTTATAAGTATACACGCGCACTTATTATTGGATTTTTTAAACGCATAAAGATTTTATTTCTTTTTTCTCTCTCTCTCTCTCTCTCTCTCTCTCTCTCTGTCTCTGTCTGTATCTGCCTCGACACTCTGAGTCACTCTCCTTAATTAGTTGTCTCTTTCGGTGTGTCGTCTTGGAATTTTGCATCTCGCAAATAAACGCAAAGCAACTCGTCTATATTTACACACGGGGAGGAGAAAGAGGAAAGAGTTGGTCATGTGATTTCCACGTGTAATTCTTGGCAACTAGCAAGAAGGACAATCCAATTAAAATCAAAAGAGTCTTTTGCACACAACCCGATACCATCCCGGATTGCTAACTTCTTTCACTTAAATGTTTTTATCTTTTTTTTTTCCGTGACGGAAACTCCGCAACGCGACGGTCTTTAAGCGGCATCTTTCGACGCGTAATTGATCGTGGTCGACGGTTACGACGAGCCATTAAATGTTCAGAAAGTTCCTCTTTGCACCTATCATACAGACATTTTGATTAAAAAGTACGAAAATAAAAAATATTTCAAACATGGAAACTTAAAATTAATTTCGAT